GGAATTTGTTGAAGGTTTCAATAAAGATTAGATTTTTAGTAAATTTGCGAGTTTGTGAAGTCAGTAGAGTATTGTGCCATGAAAAAAAAGGAAGAGTTATAAGATAGTTCATAAATATTCAAAGAAAATTGTAAAGCATACTTTTATATACAAAAACAATTATAGTTATCTGAAACTTATTACAGCAAAAAATACCTTTTATATAAATCTACATAATCGATTTCACATCAAAGATGATGTGCAAATATAGATTTAAAACCAGTTTTTACTACACATGCTGCTTTTTAATTTATATTTAAATATGTCAGTAAATCTGAATCTCGATCTGAAGCTTTTTCAGATATTCTTAAATGCATCCTTTATAACAGTAATTCTGATAATTCATCACTTGCTTTATTTCAGAAGTTACTTTTCTATATAATTACAAAGTATGATATTTTTGTATAAGAAATTTGTCATCTTCTTTTAGGAATCCTATTATATTCTAGTTGATAGTTTGTTTTCTTGAATCTCAATAAAGATGCATCATAACTGCTGTGTAGCAGTGATAGTGATGACAATTTTTCATATAATGAAGTTAGACAAATACTAAAATCATCTTTATAAAAATATTGAAAAAGATCTAATGAACTTGAAAATATTTCGCTTTATCAACTTTACTTAAAATATAGGTTTTACAATAATAGTTAAAGCAAAAAACATTATATGCATTTGGTCACAACCTTTATTCAAATATAATAGTCCTCAATAGAAAGATTTTTGCTATATAAAAGTTCTTCATCATATTTTTATCAAAGCATTGAGCAACTTACTATAAATAATACAATCTCTTAACCAGTTCTTTTTGAGCAACATATTATGAAAATTGATAATGATTCTACAGATTTATTAGATTCTTTTATGAATAATATAAAAGCTGAATTTAGTAACAAGAATGAGAATAAAAGAATGAATGTTATTATCAGAAATAGTCTAATTACAGTTATTGATAAACATTCAGATTTAGGTTTATATACAATAGATAAGAACTATGATTGGGATAGTAATACCAAATAACATTATCTCAATTTTAATTTAGAAGAGTATCAATTTTTCTGCAGCAAGTTCGAAATGAAGAAAGTATAACTTTTAAAATTCTATTTACTAATACAATAGATTTTCAAACTCTAAATAAGAAGCAGATGATGATATTTAAAAGAACAAGACTTATTATATTGCTGCAATTAGAGATCACAAGAGTATTAAGCCTTTTAGAATAATTATTATAGGAACTGCAGAATGAGTAAATCATATCTGATTAAAACAATTGTAGCTTGATTTGAGAAATTAGTAAAAAAACATGATCTAATAACAAATCACTTGTCCTTATGCTCATATTAACTAAAGTTGCAGTATACAATATTCATAGATCTACTATTCATATTGCACTCTTTATTTTAATAAATTACATGAAGTTTGATATAGATGATATATGATTAAAACAATTACAAAACAAATTACAAGATATAGAATATTTTATTATTGACAAAAAAAGTATAGTTGGGCAACAGATGCTTGTTTTAATTAATCTGCATTTATGCTAAGCCTTCTCAGAACAATGAGATCAACTTTTTGATAGTTGTTCTGTTATCCTTATTGGCAATTTTAGACAACTTTTACCAGTTCTTAATATCTCTATATATGTATCTACTTTATAATATAATTCACTTTCAAATAATGACATTATTGTATACAAACAATTTTTGAAAATCTATAGCTTGATATTGTCTAATGTTAATCTGAAAACTCAGAAAAGCAATGTCTTTTTGGAGATATCTTGCTATATTTATATGATGAAGAATTAATGATAGATAACTTGAGAGTATTTACAACCTGGCTTGCAGATTCACTTAATGTAAATAATAATCAATTTTTAGATACAACAAATATTCTATCTGGAAAAATTAATATTGATAAAATAACTTTAATTAACTATGATTTTTAAACTGCCCTATTGTAAGAATAAATGCTATTCATATAGCAGGTAGTTGTAAAGCATTCAAGGCTGATTCTAATATAGCAAAAAGTTTTGAACCTTATCTACTATTAGCTCAAAATGTATATATTATACTTAGGCTAATCTATAAACTGAAGCAAAGTAAGTTAATGGCTCAATAAAGATTGTATACAAAATTTTGTTCAAAGAAGACAAGTGCCTACCTTCTCTTCTAATTGGATTTGATGATTATACTGGACCAGCTATCATAACTATTATAGAAAAAAAACTTGTTTCTATAATACAATTTAGCAAATCTGAAAATTAAAAAATCTAATTTGCTTATGTTTACAATTTTTTATTTGTCTTGTATAGGCAGTTACGGTGTATAAAAGCTAAGAGTTAATATTTTCAAAAGTTAAAATAGATCTTGATAAAAGAGAGTATGCTGTTAGACTCTTTTTTGTGGCTATATCAAAAGTTCATATCCTTAATAATCTTCTTTCTTGACCATTTTTTTATAAGAGGCTTTAATATATAAAAAGTTCTAAAAGACTGCAAGATAAAAAAGCTTAAGAGCAACAACTAATTTCTCTAATAAAATAAGAATAAGTTGAGTTTATATATGAAAATTTAAATTAGTAACTTCACTTTTTTGTATATATAATAAATAGCAACAACTCTTTCTGCTGATCCTCAATTCTAAAATCAATAAAACTAAAACACAAGATTTACTCAAAAAACAGATTAATAAACAACTATTAGAAGATTAAGAAAAAAAGGTTCAGCAAGTGAAGAAGCTATAATTTACTTAAAACAATAATCATCGAAACAACAAGCTAATAGCAAAGAAAAGATTTATATAAAAATTTTTTCTAAAATTTTTGAAAAAGTGGATAATTGTGCATAGTCTAAAAATTTTGACAAAAAGAACATATAATTAAGGACAATAAACAAACAAATAAACAGATACCTTTTTAGAAATATGTGATAATACAACAAACTAAACAAAGTAAACAAAAAGAAAATCTAGCACATATAAAATTAACAAAATTCACACAAATATTTAGAAAGTTCTAGAAATTGATAGAATCAAACAAAAGATTATTAGAATAGATGGTCTTTTTGAACTTATATACAGAGCATCTGAAAAGGTCTTTAGATACTTAAATAGTAATAAATTAGTAGAAATTCTTTATATTTCTAATACATATAAATCAGACAAAATATACAAACTCACTAAGAACCTTATAGTATAAGACTTAGGAAAAATTACAGTATATAAAATGATTTTATATACTCAAATTTGAGATATATTTAAGAAAGCAAAAAATTATCTATAAAAAGATACAATTTAATGATGGGCAATAGGAGTTAGAATAGCAAGAACCAACTTATTATTTATAGATTACATTACAAATATAAGTAAAAAAGAGATTAAGAAAGAAGAAAGCAAAATGGAAGAAATAAAAAAGAAAGGTCTGGTAGAAAAATTACAAGCTCTAGAACTAAATAAAAAAAGCACTTCTAAAGAAGAAACAAAAACAAATAAAGATATAAACTAGGTAGTCGAACAAATGCAAGACTGAAGCATCAACAAATAACATGTGATTATTATTTGGTAGAAGAATCACAAGCCACAATAAAAAAAGCTTTATTACAACTTCAAACAAACAACCAGAATAATGAACTTATAAAAGATTTAGAAAAAAAAATAATAAAGAAAACACAACAACAGGAGGAAAGAGAATTAAAAAAGGCAAAGATGCTTTAATTAAAAGTATTCTTAAAGATACAATTTTATATTATCAAAAAAATGAAAGATATTGAATCGTATTTAAATAATATTCAAGCAGAAGAAAACAGTCTGCAAATTTTCACAGCTACTTTAGAGCAAAGTATCTGGTTACTAAAAAATAGAGCATATGAAGATGATCAATTATTTCTAGCAAATGTACTAGTATACAGTTTTTCAAAAAATTCAGCAAACAAAAGTTCAGACTATATTAAAAGAATTCTTAGTAAAAATAAGCACATCAGGAAAGTTGAAGAAAAATTTAAAAATAGAAACCCTTGGATAGAAGTAGCCTTTAATTGTGACTTTGAAAGAAACTCAACAATTGACAGAATCAAAAGAAAAGAATGTAACCAACTAATTCTAATTCTAGAGGAAAGAAAAAATATTAAAGCAAAGCAAAAAGATCAAGACACAAAGCTAAAGAGAAGATAGTACTCTCTTAAAAGAAATAAAAGTTCTAGAAAAAAGATACTTGACAAAGGAAAAACAATCTTAGTTATAATGAAAATTTTTAAGAGAAAAATGATCAATTAACTAGGAAAAGATATAATCATAAAAGATATATAAATGTAGACTATATTATAATCTGAGATCTATCAGTAGATATAAAAACCCAAGAAATCAAATAAATATATAAAAAACTAAGAGATATAGAAAATATGTATATCAAGCGAAGAAATGGCAGAGCACTTTCAGTAGTAAAATTCATTACAAAGATAAAAGCTAAAGATATACTATAGGTTTTCTCAATAAATAATAAGAGACTAGCTCAAATATTAAAAGAAAAAGAAGATCACCAAAAAAGAGATTAAAGATACAAATATGTAGCAAAATTAATTAAAATTACAGAAGACCTATCAAAAACTTTACTTCTCAGATATCTAAAGAATAAAAAAGTAAAGCAGTCTATATTTCTAAAAGAAGAAGTAGATTTATAAAGCAAATAGCAAAAATAATCTTTGCTATAAAGAGAAATATATGAGAAGTACAGAATAAATCAGTAAAATATAATAATTTACAACTTTATTAGGTCCAAAGTAAGCAAAAAAAATGCAGAGGAGGAGGGTAGCTTAGAAGGGAAAAAAAAATATAAAAACAATCTAAGAAGAGAAAAGTAAAGTTTTAATGAGAAGGTAATATCGTCAAGAAGAAGAATACATAACAGAAAGACATCTTTAGTAGAAGAAAAAGAATAAACATCAGATAGAAACAATAGTAGTCGAAAAGATGAAAAAAGATAGAGAAATAAAAGATAAAGCTCTAATAAGAGAAGAGAAATAAGAAGCTTAAGTTACAAACACTTCTTAGCAGTAAGAAGTCTAGCAGCAAGAATAGATGAACATTATACAATGTTGCAAGAGATCATGTGATATTTAGAAAAACTCAATGATTGCTCAATGCTCCTAACTTTAAAAGCACTAGTTAAATTTAGAAAATATGGCAAAAGATCCAAACCTTTTCTGTAAACAGATCAGCAAGTAAATATCAACTAAGAAAATATAATCCTTTGCTCTTTAAACAACACAAACAGCAGAAAAGAAAAAGAAGTTATAAATAGAAATGAATTAGATCAAGAGGAGAACAAAGATATTACATATATTACAAGCAGAGGTTACATTAATCAAAATATTGCAATATACAATATTAATAGTATCAAAAACAATGTCTACAAACTAGAGTTTGCTCTCAAATAGGCATTAAACAACAAGATAAATATTTTAGATATTGCAGAAACTAACATTTCAAGAATTGAAGAAAAATAGCTATCTAAACCACAATCTAAATACAGAGGTTTTTGAACAAATACAGATTGTAACAAAAAAAAAGGCTCTGGAGTTGGTTTACTAATAAATAAATAATTAGAAAAATATGTAGAAAAAGTAGATAAAGTAAGTAAATATTTAATTTTTATAAGTTTAATACTCAAACAGCTGGAAATTATAGTAATAATGCTCTATAAACCACCAAGTAACAAACAAGAAAAAAAAAGATTTAGAAAATAATTATTAAGAAATATATTAACAGATCGCTCAGATCACAAATGATAGTTATAAGAGATTTTAACAGTATATTAGATTTAGAGCTAGATAGAATACAAAATATTGAGAAGAAAAAATTGCTTTTTTAAATTAATTGCAAAAATACGAATTTCAAAACACCTTTAGAACAATATATTTTAGAGCCAGAAAGTTCACATAGTCAAACAGAGAAACAAATACAAGGATTGATCAGATTTGGGTGCTAGATGAACTGTTTTATGGATTGTTTGATATAGAGATACAAAAAATAGACATCTATATAAATAATGACCATGTGGCAATAATAATCAGAATAGACTTGAGTCATTTAAATACAACTCAGAGTGTAGCAGAATGTAAAAGAAAAAGATACACAAAAACAGTTTTTCTTTATAAGAAAATTATAAAAAGCAAATGGATAGCTTGTTTAGTAAAAGTATAAATATACACAATTTTTAAACATATGGGCTGATTTTCAGAATTTATATTAGGGCTAGTTTTTTTTTTAAACTTTAAGATTAAATAACTCTTAATTTAAAAGTTTTTTAAAAAAAAATTTATTATTATTGTATTCTTCTCTTTAAAACGATTCTAACAAATCCAAAATTATTCAAATCCAATCACAGGATCATGAGATATTGTGCTGTCAAATAATGACGCACCCCATGGGTGGGAAGGATTGGTTAGACTAGGTCTAACCAATTCTTCCCACCTATGGGGTGCGTTATTATTTGATAACACAATATCTCATGATCCTGTGATTGGATTTGAATAATTTTGGATTTGTTAGAATCGTTTTAAAGAGAAGAATACAATAATAATAAATTTTTTTTTAAAAAACTTTTAAATTAAGAGTTATTTAATCTTAAAGTTTAAAAAAAAAACTAGCCCTAATATAAATTCTGAAAATCAGCCCATATGAGAAAACATATTATTATAAAAAAAGAGTAACAGAATTGGATGAATCGTGAAATGATATAAGTGATAGTATTCTCGTTGTAGCAAAATATAATCTACCAAAGAAGAAGATTTGCAATATAACACAGATAGAAGAAAGAAGACAAGAAAGTTGAGGTTATTTTATTCTATAATGCAACTAGAAAGATGGATAAGTATAGAAAGGATAGTGTCAAATTAGGTCTTATATATATAGCTATATAGACGATCTAATTGCAGAGTTAGAGTATACAAAC